CTTCATTTTCTTCCTCTTTTATATTCTCTTCTAACTTGCCCTGTAAAGTTTCTAACTTGCCCTGGTACAGTTTATTGTTATGAGTGAGATAGAGATTTTTATTACAGAAACCAAAATCCAATGTCTTCTGCCTTGTAAACAGACTTCCTCAGGGACTAAGAGCAGTGTCAGTAAGCGTTGGGTACTAAGTCACTCCAACTCTGTAATGCTTTTTACCTAATCCAGAAGTAAGGGCCCTGCTGTTTACTGGATGCTTTAGCCTTTCATTCAATCATCATAATCATGAAAGAATCTAAAACACTCACCTTGTAAGAGTAACAAGAAGTCCAAGCTCCAAATCAGCAGAAACCTTGCAAAAAATACTCAAGCTAAACAAAACTACCATCAACAACAACACAAACCAAATCCTAAGGACCAAAAAGGAATCCTTTCTTTGTGTGTTTAATCTTACGTTTTAGAAATAGTAAGACACAAGGGAAGGAATAAGCATAAGTTTGGAGCTGAAGATGCAATGACAGTATAGGCTTGTGAAAAAGTAAAATACTAATAAAGTAATATTTTGCTTTGCTGTCAAGGGGATAAGAGAAGGGAACTAATATTTGTTGCATTTGTGCTATGTGCCAATTCTTGTGCTGGATGGTTTTGTCATGTGTTAGTTATTTTGGCCCTCCCCAGAACCCAGAAAGGTGAGCTTGTCATCTCCATTGTATCATTAAGTAAACCAAGGTGTAAATACATTAAATAAGCTGCCCCCAATCACATGGTGTGTTTGTGGGCCCTCTGAAATTCAACCCAGGCCTATCAGACTTTAAATGATGGATAAAGAATGATCATGGAACTAAAAAGGGTAAAACAAGTACTGGTGAGAGGGACTGGCACCTGAAGGAGCTCTAGTCTGGAGCAAGCAGAGACCAATGCTCCTGGTGACCACTCCCCACCCAGCCAGGGCCCGAGCGCCCTGACAAATGCAGTACCTGGAACTTCCGTCGGTGATCTTCAAGGAAGTAAGTGTGGATAGAGGGAAAACATAAAAAGATGGGAGATGAAGATGAATAGTCCTAGCTTCCATAAACCTAGTGATAGCTTAAATTATTTCGATTGGCTTTGAGACATGCCGAACCTCAGTTGCATGGGTTTGAGGAAGTTAGCACCAGAACTCAGAGAAATGACTTGCTTATAAAGATGACTTCCAACTTTCCAATATCTGATATTTGAAGTGGGAAGTAGTTTAGGTTTGATTTGGGCTGACTCCGTTATTTTAGGAGGTAGGACATAAGAGAATACAGACAGCAGATGATATTTGAATTAGCATAATTCAGGCACAAAATGCTGAGCAGTCTTTTGGGAGCCAGACGCCAGGCACTAGCTTAGAAGGTAAGATTCGGACCTCTGGGAGGGTGTGCTTCTGACTGCAAGGCAGAGTGGCAGGGCTTCCTTTAAAGGGCTGGGATTGATTTTGCCTATCCTATTGGCCAAGATTTGGCAAGAACTGCGGAGAGGGGAGACATCCTATATATAGGGGACATCTCTACATATTGCTAGTGGAAATGTCCATTGATACAACATCTACAGAGAGAGTATGTTGTCAGCATCTGTTAGAATTAGAAATTCACATTCTTAGCTGGGTGCTGTGGCTCTCACCCGTAATCCTAGCACTCTGGGAGGCCAAGGCAGGCAGATCACTCAAGGTCAGGAGTTCAAAACCAGCCTGAGCAAGAGTGAGACCCCATTGCTACTAAAAATAGAAAGAAATTAATTGACCAACTAAAAATATGTAGGAAAAATTAGCCGGGCATGGTGGCGCACGCCTGTAGTCCCAGCTGCTCGGGAGGCTGAGGCAGAAGGATGGCTTGAGCCCAGGAGTTTGAGGTTGCTGTGAGCTAGGCTGACATCATGGCACTCTAGCCCGGGCAACAGAGTGAGACTCTGTCTCAAAAAAAAAAAAAAAAGAAAAGAAAAGAAATTCTCATTCTCTTTCTTGCAGCAATACTAGTTTTAGGCTTTGAGCTTGTAGGAATACTCACGTACACAGTGGCTCAGGTACAAAGGCATTCACTGCTGCATTCTTGAAAAGAGCAAATAAATTGTAGAATTTCTTATCTCTTGAACCAGGAATTTTTGTACAGTTTTTATAATTCCCTCTTATGGCTTTTGGTAGCTACCACTTAGCTATTATTTTTATAATAAACTCGGGTTCCTTTTTAAATTACTAGTTTAATTTATAATTAGAATAATTAAAGCCAAAAAAATTTTATTGTATGTAAATATATATAATATATAAATATTCACACATCGGTTTAAGCAAAATTACGTTGTTAAAGGTATTTTTAATTTAGTGTTTTATTTGTTGTAGTGACTCAACGTAGAGATATAGCTATAAGAAGCATTTCAATATTTAATTTGGTTGTGACTATAGTTCCTGGTTAGCTCCTTCCAGAACTGGTGAGTCCAACCTCTGCTGAGTAAGGTGGAGGTTGGAAGACAGGGAACCAATGACAGCCTGCTGATTGAGGGGTGCATAATTTGTCATTAGGGACAAGGCCACCTAGGTCCCCGGACTTAAATTACCAGTTGTCTCCTTTCCCTCTTTTCTTTTTGCCATTAATGTCTTAACATAGTCCCCTAAATAGGTGAGAGGATTGGGGTCAAAAAATTCCAGTAGGTCAAAGAATAAGGCTGCATTTAATTTGAAGAGACAAGATAATGGACAGTTCAAGAGATGGAGCTTTGTAGGAAGAAAGATTGAGATTTAAGTTAGACTATGTCGAGAATGGGTCAGTTAAGTTCTACCTGGTAAAATTCGGACAAGATCTCCTTATTTAAAGTTTTACCTTTCATTGATACAGATAGATCTAAAAAATGGGTTTTTTTTTGAGACACAGTCTCACTATTGCCCGAGCTAGAGTGTTGTGGAGTCAGCCTAGCTCACAGCAACCTCAGACTCCTGGGCTCAAGTGATCCTCCTGCCTCAGCCTCCCTAGTAGCTTGGACTACAGGCATGCGCCACCATGCCTGGCTAATTTTTTCTATATTTTTAGTTGCCCAATTAATTTCTTTCTATTTTTAGTAGAGATGGGCTCTCACTCTTGCTCAAGTTGGTTTTGAACTCCTGTGCTCAAAGGATCCTCCCGCCTCGGCCTCCCAGAGTGCTGGGATTATAGGCGTGAGCCATCGCGCCCGGCCCTAAAAAACATTTTTAAACAAAAACGATAGCTAGCTCTTAATCAGTAGTTCACGTGTGCCCAAACTTAGTGGTTCATATGCATTAGTTCATTTATTTCTCACAGCGCCTCTAGGAAGTAGGTTCTGTTGTAACCCCCACTCTGTAGTTGAGGAAAGAGACTTCCAGACTGAGTGGTTTGACTCGTAGCTACTCGCTTCACTGTGTCTCTCTGGCTACCTCATCAGGTCTCTGTGCAAATCAAGTGAGTTTTTGTGTGGGAAAGCACTTTGAAAACCACAAAGCAGTCGATACTTGAAAGCTGGTTCTCAAGAGACAGAAAATGCTGTTCACTCTATTTTGCGGGACGATTCTTTAAACGCAGGACTTGGCAAGCAAGCCAGTGTCGAAACTAAAATAAAATTAACCTCAAATTAGAGGAGCCCTTTTGGATGGCAAAGTAAAGTACTAAGGAAAATACAATGACAAAAAGAAAAAAATGTCATGCGGTCAGAATATACAACTGTGCCTGTTAAGGTGGTCTTTTTAGACGGGGCGAGCGTTTTCACGGAGCCAGAAGCCGCGGTGCTCTGCCAGCCTCCGGAGCAGGGTCGACCTGGCTATACGAGGGTGATGACGTGGCCTGATAGATGAAGCCCTTGGAGAATGTGTCCCCACTGAACGAACGCGACTGAAAATGCCAAGAAGCCTTTTTGGACGGAGGTGTTCTCCAGGCTCAGGCTGAGTTCATTATCTTGTCACAGCACTGCCACCAAGCCCGCTGTGGGCGGTTCAGCACGCCACACTCCAGGCAGAATTAATTCATCTCTGTGTGCCATAAACGAGACCATTGCCCAGGATCAGGCGGCGACAGCCAGCAACGCCAGGAGCAGGAAGTGTCGGTGTCAGTGGTGAGCTCCCCTTGATCACACTCCCACCCAAACTTGGTTCAAGAATTTGCTAAGGAAACCAAGCTCCTGTCTTGTGCTGTTTCTTGCCTTAGTAAAGGGAAGAGGGAAGGAGTGTGACATGCGTGCGTGTGTATTGTGGCAGGGAGGCGTGTGTGACATGGTCTCGTTGCTTTGTAATACTCAACTCCACTTGTAGTTGCGAGACCTCACTTATTTTCATACCAGAAAGGAACAGGTAAGTTTCTTGACCAAAGAAAGCAGCTCTGAATTACTCTTAATCTGCTATGTACATCTTTCTTGTGGAGTCACACCGCTCTGAAGAGAGCTGTTTCTTACAGGGACTAGTTCTTTCTTTCTTTAAGGTCACATGCTTTCCCTAATACAGCAAATTTAAAAGCGGGGACAGTTGGAATGTTACCCAAAGTGGGAGGGACTTTACCCATGGAGCCCACTCTCCCAGTCAGAAAGTGACACATGAATGCATCAAGAGTGGGTCCAGGGCACACTGCAGTGGCTCACGCCTGTAATCCTAGCACTTTGGGAGGCCGAGGCGGGAGGATCGATTGAGCTCAGGAATTCGAGACCAGCTTGAGCAAGAGCAAGACCCTGTCTCTACCAAAAATAGAAGAAATTAGCCGGGCATGGTGGCGCATGCCTGTAGTCCCAGGAGACTGAGGCAGGAGGATCGCTTGAGCCCGGGAGTTTGAGGTTGTTGTGTGCTGGGCTGACGCCACGGCACTCACTCTAGCCTGGGCAACAGAGTGAGACTCTGTCTCAAAAAACAAAAACAAAAACCCACAAGCAACTAAAGGAAAAATAGACAAATTGGACCATATAAAAATCAAAAACTTGGATTACTGGGCAGGCTGAGTCTTTCGCCTCAGTCTCGAGCTCTAGCTGGCAGTGAGGCATACGTGTACCCGTGGCCACCATCGATGTCACTTAGTTCCTCTAGGTTTGTCTCCGCCACTTGCCCGATACATACTCTGCCATCATAAGCCGCTATCATAGTGAAGCTCGCAAAGGCAAGTAAAAATCAAGGTGACCCCAAGAAAATGGCTCCTCCCCCAAAGGAGGTAGAAGAAGATAGTGAAGATGAGGAAATGTCAGAAGATGAAGATGATGACAGCAGTGAAGAAGAGGTTATCATCCCTCAGAAGAAAGGCAAGAGGGCTACTGCAACCTCAGCAAAGAAGGTGGTGGTTTCTCCACCAAAAAGGTTGCAGTTGCCACACCTTCGAAGAAAGCAGCTGTCACCCCAGGCAAAAAGGCAGCAGCCACACCGGCCAAGAAGATGGTCACATCAGCCAACGCAGTTGTGACACCTGGCAAAAAGGGAGCCACACAAGGCTCCCTGGTAGCAACCCCTGGTAAGGAGGGAGCTGCCACCCCAGCCAAGGGGGCAAAGGATGGCAAGAATGCCAAGACGGAAGACAGTGATGACGAGGAGGATGACAGCAAGGAGGACGACGAGGATGATGATGAAGAGGAGGAGGAATTTGAACGAGCAGTGATTAAAGCAGCAGCTGCTGCCCCTGCCTCACAGGATAAGGACTATGAGGATGATGAAGATGAAGAGGATGAGGATGATGATGATGATGAAGAAGATGACTCCGAAGAAGGATCTATGGAGACCACACCAGCCAAAGGAAAGAAAACTGCAAAAGCTGTACCTGTGAAAGCTAAGAGCACACCTGAGGATGAAAAATGAAGAGGAGGAAGATGAGGATGAGGATGATGATGAGGAAGAGGAGGAGGAGGAAGAACCTGTCAAAGAAGCACCTGGAAAACGAAAGAAGGAAATGACCAAACAGAAAGCAGCTCCTGAAGCCAAGAAACAGAAAGTGGGAGCCACAGAACCAACTACATCTTTTTTTAATTTTTTTTTAACTTTTAATTAATTAATTTTTTGAGTGTATTATGGGGGTACAAGTGTTAAGGTTACATATATTGCCCATGCCCCTCTCCCCCCTCGAGTAAGAGTTTCAAGCGTGTCCATCCCCCAAACATTGCACATCTTACTCGTTGCCTACTACATCTTTCAATATCTTTATTGGAAACCTGAACTTTAACAAATCTGCTCCTGCATAAAAACTGGTATCAATCATGTTTTTGCTAAAAATGATCTTGCTGTTGTAAATGTCAGAATTGGTATGACTAGAAAATTTGGCTATGTGGATTTTGAATCTGCTGAAGACCTGGAAAAAGCCTTGGAGCTCGGTGGTTTGAAAGTCTTTGGCAATGATATTAAACTAGAGAAACCAAAAGGCAAAGACAATAAGAAAGATCGAGATGCCAGAACACTTTTGGCCAAAAATCTTCCTTATAAAGTCACTCAAGATGAATTGAAAGAAGTGTTTGAAGATGCTCTGGAGATCAGATTAGTTAGCAAGGATGCGAAGAGTAAAGGCATTGCTTATATTGAATTTAAGACAGAAGCTGATGCAGAGAAAACCTTTGAAGAAAAGCAGGGAACAGAGATCGATGGGCGATCCATTTCCCTCTACTACACTGGAGAGAAAGGTCAAAGTCAAGACTATAGAAGTGGAAAGAATAGCAAGTGGAGTGGTGAGTCAAAAACTCTGGTTTTGGCTGGGCGCGGTGGCTCACGCCTGTAATCCTAGTGCTCGGGGAGGCCGAGGCAGGCGGATTGCTCGAGGTCAGGAGTTCGAAACCAGCCTGAGCAAGAGCGAGACCCCGTCTCTACTATAAATAGAAAGAAATTAATTGGCCAACTAATATATAGAAAAAGTTAGCCGGGCATGGTGGCGCATGCCTGTAGTCCCAGCTACTGGGGAGGCTGAGGCAGGAGGATTGCTTGAGCCCAGGAGTTTGAGGTTGCTGTGAGCCAGGCTGACGCCACGGCACTCACTCTAGCCTGGACAACAAAGCGAGACTCTGTCTCAAAAAAAAAGAAAAAGAAAAAAAAAAAAAACCCTCTGGTTTTAAGCAACCTCTCCTACAGTGCAACAGAAGAAACTCCAGGAAGTATTTGAGAAGGCAGCTTTGATCAAAGTGCCCCAGAACCAAAATGGCAAATCTAAAGGGTATGCATTTATAGAATCTGCTTCATTTGAAGATGCTAAAGAAGCTTTAAATTCCCGTAATAAAAGGGAAATTGAGGGCAGAGCAATCAGGCTGGCGTTGCAAGCGCCCAGGGGATCACCTAATGCCGGAAGTCAGCCACCCAAAACTGTCAGTCAGAGGTCTGTCAGAGGGTACCACTGAAGAGACGTTGAGGGAGTCGTTGGATGGCTCTGTTCATGCAGGGACAGTCACTGACAGGGAAACTGGATCCGCCAAAGGGTTTGGTTTTGTAGACTTCAACAGTGAGGAAGATGCCAAAACAGCAAAGGAGGCCATGGAAGATGATGAAATGGATGGAAACAAAGTTACCTTGGAGTGGGACAAGCGGAAGGGTGAAGCTGGCTTTGGGGGTCGTGGTGGAGGCAGAGGAGGCCAAGGTGGATTTGGTGGCAGAGGCCGGGGAGGCTTTGGAGGCCACGGAGGCTTCCGAGGTGGAGGAGGAGGAGATCACGAGCCACAAGGAAAGAAGACGAAGTCTGAATAGTTTCTTCTGTCCCTATGTCTTTCCCTCTTCTATTTGAAAGAAAGGACTCTGGGGTTTGTACTCTGTTACGTGATCAATGACAGAGCCTTCTGAGGACATTCCGAGACAGTATACAGTCCTGTGGTCTACTTGGAAATCATATAGATAACATTTCAAGAGTGATACCCTGCTGGTTTTGACTGGATATTCATATAAACTTTTTAAAGAGATGAGTGATAGAGCTAACCCTTATCTGTAAGTTTTGAATTTATATTGTTTTATCCCATGTACAAAACCATTTTTTCCTACAAATAGTTTGGTTTGTGCGTGTGTGTGCGCGTGTGTGTGTGTGTGTGTTGGGGGGTTGTAAAGGAAGGCAGAATGTTTTATCATGATTTTTGCTTCAGCTTTAGGATAAATTAAAAGTTAATTCTGGTTGCCAGAAAAAAAAAATTAAAGACTTGTGCTTCAAAGGACACTATCAAAGAAAATAAAAACATAGCCCACAGAATGGGAGAAAACATTTGCAAATTACACATCTGATAAGGGTCTATTATCTAGAATATATAAATAATTATTTCAACTCAACAATGAAAAGAAAACTAACCCCATTTTAAAATGGACAAAAGGCTTGAATAGACATTTCTCCAAAAAAGCTGTGCAGATGGTAATTAAGGCACATGAAAAGGTGCTCAGCATCATTAGTCACCAGAGGTGCGCAAATCAAAACTACAGTGAAGTGTCCGACTTCGCACCCTCTAGGCTGGCTCTAATCAAAAAGACAGATAATAAAAAGTGTTGGCCAGGACGGGAAGAAATTAGAACCCTCATGGCATTGCTGGCGTGAATGCAAAATGGTGTGCCAGTTTGGAAAACAATTAGGTATTCCCTTAAAAGGTGAAACATAGAATTACCCATATGGCCCAGTAATTCCACTCCTTTGTGTAAACCCAAAAGAAATAAGAACATGCGTCTGCACAGAAACTTACACGTGAATGTTTATAGCATCATGGTTCATAATAGCAAAAAAGCAGAAAACATCCAAATTTTCATTAACTGAAAGGTAAATAAAATATGGTATACCCATACAATGAAATATTATTCGATTAGATAAAAGAGTGGAGTACTGATTCACGGTGCAACACGGATGAATGTTGAACACATTATGCTAAGTGAATGGAGCCAGTGACAAAAGGCACACATGGTATGATTCCATCTGTAAGAAATGTCCAGTATAGGCAAATCCATAGCTACAGACAATGGATCATTGGTTGCCAAGGACTGTGGAGAGGGGGAGCAGAGGAGTGACTATCAGAGAGTACAGGATGTATTTTGGGTATAGTAAAAACATTATGGAATTAGGTAGTGGCCATGGCTGTAAAACTGTGAGTATATTAAAAGCCATCGACTTGCACACTCCCAAAAGGTGAATATCGTTGTGAATATTATTGTGAATTACCCCAATAAAATGGAAGGTATGGGATAGTTTCATGCTTTGTAATAGTTATATTTGACTAAGTTATGGAGTGTAAGAAGAGAGTAATAGGAAACATCTGAAAAAGTAAATTGGAATCAAATTATTAAAGGGCTTCCTTAGAGGGAAGCTGGCAGGAGAGAACCATTAAAGATTTTGGAGAAAGTAACGTAATTAGAGTGTGGTTCAGGAAATTCGGTCCAGCCTCATTTCCGTCCATCTCTGCCTCTTTCCCAGGCCTTGTACTAGATAGTGCAGTGATTCTGTACTTGGCAGTTTAGTTTTTTTTTTTTTTTTTTTTTTGAGACAGAGTCTCACTTTGTTGTCCAGGCTAGAGTGAGTGCCGTGGCGTCAGCCTAGCTCACAGCAACCTCAAACTCCTGGGCTCAAGCGATCCTCCTGCCTCAGCCTCCCGAGTAGCTGGGACTACAGGCATGCGCCACCATGCCCGGCTAATTTTTTTTATATATATATCAGTTGGCCAATTGATTTCTTTCTATTTATAGTAGAGACGGGGTCTCGCTCTTGCTCAGGCTGGTTTTGAACTCCTGACCTTGAGCAATCCGCCCGCCTCGGCCTCCCAAGAGCTAGGATTACAGGCGTGAGCCACCGCGCCCGGCCGGCAGTTTAGTTTTGAATTAGGGAATATACATGATTTTAGAAGTTTTCCCCCCAAAGGACTTGGTCATATTAGCCTGGTAAATTGATTTATATACACCTTCATAATAATACCAAGCACATGGATATATACAGGCATGACCTTATTTCACAGGAAAGAGGTGAGAGGTAAAATGAGAAAACGAAAGTGAGATTTTGGTCATGTTCACTAATACACATCCCTGATTTGGAGAACAGGAAAGGGAAGACGTCCTGCCATCCCAGTCCTGAACCCTCAGCAGGACGCTGTGTTGGGATAATTCAATGAGGCTTGTCGAGGACTGTGCAGGATCTGGAATCTACCTTACTAGCAAGCTAACGAGTTAAACTGCCAGTTTCCCAGATACTGATAGAAGACACAAGACTCCTGTGAGAGACCTAAGACTTTTATACTCTGTATTTCACCGTAATTTCTACCTTAGTTGGTGGAAAAGTTAACTAGTTACAGAGCATTTTTAGAAATGTGACTGAATTTGTACTTAAAAGCTCTAGTAAATATAGAATAAAATATTCAATGTAGAAGTTCTATAGAATCTGTCTCCCACATGCCCCATTTGAACTTACACAAATAACTTAATTTTCTCAAAACAGTTCTTCAGAGGATAGGTTCAGTAAAATGTGCTAATTTGCAAATTCATTATTTACAGTAGCTTTCGTTAATCTATCATTCTGTGATGGGGAATAATTTGCAGAGTAAGAAAACATTCAGCAGTAAATTCTAGTGTTTTCTACAATATTCCAAGAGATCTGTGTGGTTAATCAAGAGAAAACAATACTGTTGTTTTTTTTTTAATCTTGTTCTAAAAATCACACGAAACAATCCTGCCCATAATTACAATTGTACTTTATTTTATTTAAACCTGATGAACTGTGTGGGCACGCAACAGGGTCTTAGGGCAACTGTGTTGGCGGAGTATTTATTTCTGCAGGTCTGCCAGGGTGCTGAGTGCTTGCGGGGGGGACAGAGACTTTGGCCGGGGGGCAATGGGAAATGAATCTGGAGGCAGCACTTTTTTTTAGAGTAATTTGAAAACTTTGTTTTGAAGGAATTAGTTATCTAATTAGGTTAGAAAAGCTTGTGTGTTTCATACACAAGGAGAGATGATCTCTTTATACCGCTCCTAGGCTCCCAAAGCCATTTGCTTCAATTATGTGACCTCCACTAAAAGTTCAAGGTCTGGCCTATGATATGTTTTCTATAGTCTTCTGAATGCCAATCCTTCCATTATTAAGAGACTTGGCCTCAGAGCATCAGATTACCACACTTCTCGTAAACCAGTTTAGTGGCAACAAGATCCAGTTATCTCTAGACATTCGTTTTTTGTTTGTTTTTTTTTTTTTTTTTTTTTGAGACAGAGTCTCACTTTGTTGCCCAGGCTAGAGTGAGTGCCATGGCGTCAGCCTAGCTCACAGCAACCTCAAACTCCTGGGCTCAAGCGATCCTTCTGTCTCAGCCTCCCAAGTAGCTGGGACTACAGGCATGAGCCACCATGCCCGGCTAATTTTTTCTCTATGTATTAGTTGGCCAATTATTTTCTTTCTATTTATAGTAGAGACGGGGTCTCGCTCTTGCTCAGGCTGGTTTCGAACTCCCGACCTCAAGCAATCCACCCGCCTCGGCCTCCCAGAGTGCTAGGATTACAGGCGTGAGCCACCGCGCCCGGCCTAGACATTCGTTTTTTTTTTTTTTTATAATCAAGTTGACAGATGAATAGACATTCGTTTTTTTAGCCGAGCCCTTCTATTTTCTGTTTCTTGGTTAAAGAAGAGATGCAAATAAGTCTGTGGATCTATTTGGTTATCAGTTTTACTTACTGTCAAAAGATCTGACCATACAACCTTTTTGTCCTTTCTTAGATATTTGCTGTGTGTAATTTTATTTTATTTTTCTGTCTACTAAAAGGTCTTCCTTTTTCATAAACAGAACTAGCAGATGACTAGGAATTAGCATATATAGCCTCTCCTTTTATCTCTTAATCCCCCACGTATAACCTATCACGTTAAGATAATGCTTTGGGGAACGTGCTATGGGTTTCTCGGCCGTGTGTGGCCGCTGGTGAGCTGGGAGGGCTTGGCATGATTTCTGCACGCCTGGAGCTCCTGAGAGTTTAGAGAAATAAGCATTAAAGGATTAAAGACATAAGAGAATGTTCATGAAATATATCTTAACTAGTCTTTATGGCTGAAATAAGACAGACAAACTGGGAACATTTCCTAAACTTAATAGGGCTTGGTTTAACTTCATATGTGGTCGGAGGAAAGGGTACCCCACTTAGGGAGACTCAGGCCATGGTCCCTTGCTTCAAGACTACATATAACCTGAACCTCTTTCTGTTTTTGCCTGAATTGCCCGGATGCTCAAAGCCATTCTTAATGTTCAGTTATAGTGACTTTGTTGATTTTTAAATTCTTAAATCATTGTCATGATTTTTTCTTTCTACTTTATCATATATATGTATATATGATTGGTATGGTTGACATATGTGTGTGCATTTATGTAACGTACATTTATGTAACGTGCACATGCATGTGTGTAATATCCATTCTTATAAAGTTATCTATAATTGCCTTTGGAAAAAGTGAGATAAATAATATGGTAAAGAACAGATATGAGGGGCCGAGTGTGGTGGCTCATACCTGTAATCCCAGCACTCTGGGAGGCCAAGGCAGGTGGATTGCTCAAGGTCAGGAGTTTGAGACCAGCCTGAGCAAGAGTGAGACCCTGTCTCTATTAAAAATAGAAAGAAATTAATCGGCCAACTAAAAATATATAGAAAAAATTAGCCGGGCATGGTGGCGCATGCCTGTAGTCCCAGCTACTCTGGAGGCTGAGGCAGGAGGATCACTTGAGCCCAGGAGTTTGAGGTTGCTGTGAGCTAGGCCAACACCACGGCACTCTAGCCCGGGCAGCAGAGCGAGACTCTGTCTCAAAAATAAAATAAAATAAAATAAAGAACAGATATATGTGGATGCTTTTTTTCCCCCTGCCCATAACCTTCATTAGCATTTTCTTTTATATCAAGGGAACACTGGAACTCACTATAAATAGGGAATATAGAAAGATGACACAAAACAACAAGCAAATTAAAAACAGGTCTTGAGGCCGGGCGCTGTGGCTCACGCCTGTAATCCTAGCTCTTGGGAGGCCGAGGCGGGCGGATTGCTCAAGGTCAGGAGTTCAAAACCAGCCTGAGCAAGAGCGAGACCCCGTCTCTACTATAAATAGAAAGAAATTAATTGGCCAATT